CACACACTGCCAACACACATTTCAGTTCAAACAACTTGTAAAAGTGCATGTAGCATCCAATGACCCCTTTAATGTTTAACGCATGGCATGTGTTCTCAAAGTCATTATATAGGTAAGAGTATGTACCATGTAGACATCAAACTCATCCAGGCACCGGAAGGGCGACTCTGTAATTTCCCAGAGTGCCAGAATGAAGCAGACAGTGGAGAAGGAGCGCTCGCCTCCCGAGAGGGAACGCATGTCATTGACGTCGTTTTTTTCCTGACCGGGGGGTTTCACCTGAGCCGAAACAAGTAACATTCATCACAAAAAAACCCAGGATGTTGTGCACTTACTTTAACACAGAGTGAAAAATTTAAGGGGGTCTGAATACTTTCCGTACCCACTGTACATCAAAATTCGGTATTCACAGTTTCACAAATATATTCACAAATATTCAGTTTCCACAAAAATATGAAGCAGCACAACTCTTTTCAGCATTGATAATAATAAATGTTTCTTAAGCAGCAAATCGGCATATTACAATGATTTCTGAAGGATCATGTGACAATGAAGACTGGAGTAACGATGGTGAAAATTCAGCTTTGATCACAGAAATATAAAGTATATTCAAATAGTTATTATAAATTGTGATAATATTTCACAATATTACTAATTTAACTATATATGTGATTAAATAAATGCAGCCTTGATTAAAATATTTTCAAAAAAATCTGTAATAATACAAATATATATAATAATATATGACCAGGAGATATTTTCAGGAGATTCATCCCGTTAGTTGATTCATTTGCTTCAGTCAAACATTTGAGCAAACTGAAGTTAAAATAAAACTTACTGCCAAATGTAACTTACTGAAATGGACAGAGATTCATTGATGTGATCAAACATCATAGAGCCACTGCAGTTCAGCTGCATCATGAAGTTGCTGAAGTACAGCTTGCACCTCACAGAAAGTGACCTGGAAACACAATTCCAAACAGACACGGTTCAAACCTGCAAACTTTAAGGACAGGAGTGGCGATCTTTTAAACAGAAACATACTGTAGCCTCCAACGGTGATTGTTATACTAAGTTACCGTCGCATTGATTTGTATCGGTCCTGACGGTCAATCATGATGTGGTCGAGACGATCAATAAACTTCCTGAGATCCCTCAGCTGGCTGGATTTGCTTTTGTAATTATTGTGAGCCTCTGCGTACTCTCTGGAAAAATACATTCTTCAGTAGTTTATTTCAGTTCCATGTCAAAAAAATACAGGCTTTACATATTTGCTTTTTAATTCTCCAAAATGCTACTTCCAGTGTATAAAATAAAAGAACAAAATAAAAATGATAAAAAACAAAATAAAATAAAATGAGCTATCAGTCAAACTATATCCTTAAAAATGATGCAAGATTTAAACTAAAATAAAATGAAATAAAATGCACATTCCAAATCTGTGTCAGTGGAGCTTCATTTATACTGAATCTGGAAGACTTTTTTGAAACCACTGCTGGTTATACCTGATAACTTGTTCCTTGTCACCATGGCTGCTCTCTTCCGTACTGATTTTTTGTCGTAGGCGTGTGATTTGGGCATCGATACATCTGGCACTCTGATCTACCTGCTGTCGCACAGGACAGATCTCTTTGGCTTTGGCTTCACAATCCTACAAAAGCAAACCATTTCCAAACAATGAACAAGTCCTATATTTTGCCATACTGCTGTTTAGATGAAAACAATATGCACATTTGGTGACACTTTAGATTAGGGAACACATATTCACTATTAATTAACCTCAATATACTCCTAATTTGCTGCTTATTGATAGTTAGCAAGGTAATTGTTAAGTTTAGGTCTGGGGTAGGATTAAGGCATCTAAAATATGGTCATACAGAATATGTGCATTATAAGTACTAATAAACAGCCAAAATGCTAGTAATATGCATATTAAGAAGCAACTAGTTAATAGTGAGAATTGGTCCTTAAAGTAAAATGTTACTACTAATTTTTTACGACAAGGAATGTTTTATTTTATATTATATGATACAAAAAGCATGAAGGAGTGATCACCTGCATTTCTTCCTCTCTGAGTGACAACTCCTCTTTCATGGCCTGAATATTAGCCTGATGATCCTCGAGTTTCTTCTCCAAGATCTTCAAGGTTTGATCAAGTTTACTGCACGCAGCCTCTGCCTTAACTTGCTCCTCCTATTCAAGACAAATCCATCTTTCAATAAACACTATATATATATATATATATGTGTGTGTGTGTGTGTGTGTGTGTGTGTGTGTGTTTATATTATATTTTGTACATAAAATCACAATTTTAAAATGTCCAGGTTATACATGAATGTGGGAATCCTGTAGTGATTGATACCAATGCACAAAATAATGATCTTTAAAATAGCATCATATGGCCCCTTTAAGAAAAACAAAATATTTAAATATTGTAAATTAAGCGTTGCATTGTATACGGACTGGCCAGCGCTATCGCTCACCTTCAGTTGTTCTGTCTCATCTGAGAGTTGCTCCATTTTATTTTTCACATCTTTATATTTCTGATTAATACTTGTAAGCACTCTCTCATGTTCCTTTAACTCATCCTGAGCCTCTTTCACGTTTCTCCTCTCCGATTCGATCTTCTGTTCATTTTCTTGTGCATCTTCTTCCTGTACATTTGACAAATCGCCTATTATTCTGTGTCACAAAACAATAAGCGTAAAATTTTTGCCTGATAAAATGCATCGAGACCTCACCAGGGAGCTGATGTCTTCAGCCTGTGCCTCTTCAATGTTCTCAAGTTCTGTGATGGAAGCTTTAACCTTATTTATACTTTCCTAAAACAGGAAAATTAAAGCCAGCATCAAGTATGCAGATGTTTGGACACAAATAACGACTGAACGTGGATGGCATAATGGTGTAGCCTGTGCAGTTCAATACCTGATTCTTTTTGCAGGCCATGATGACACTACGCAGCTTCTCCTCCATGAACTGAATGTCCTCCTTCACAGAGCTCAAGTGAAGCTGGAACCGTGAAAGCTGAGCCTGGCTGTTCTCCAGCTCTGACTCCAATAGACTGTAAATCAGTAGAGAAGAACATAATTGCCTCGGATCATGCCATAAACAATTGGGCTTGGAATTGAAAAATAGTAGGTTCAGACTCCACAAGGTTTGCATGAACTATCACCACTGTGCCATGAGTAAAATCCTTAACTTTAACTTGCTCAAGGTACAATCGGTGACAAATTACTTGATGAAAGAGTATTATTCAGTATTTGTGCAGATCACACTTGCCGTATTTCTGCCTCTGGGTCTCCCCCAAGATATTTGACCAGTACTTCATGTTCAGGTGTGTAATAGCGATGGCTGAAGACCTGATCACCATCTGCAGTGAAGGCCTCGCGGCAATTCTTCGGGGGTCTCGACTCCTGCATGACTTTCCTTGCACGAGCTTTCTCCTATTTTAAAACAAAAACAATAACAAATGACATATGTCATATAGCAATAGTATCTAAAAAATAAATATGTGGATAGATGGTGAAATATTATTCCAGTTTAAAATAATGGTCTTCTATTTTAATATACCTTAAACTATAATTTCTTCCTGTGATCAAAGCTGAATTTTCAGCATCATTACTTCAGTCTTCAGTGTCACACGATCCTTCAGAAATCATTCTAATATGCTGATTTATTCATATTGGAAAAAGTTGTGCTGCTTAATTTTTTTTTTTGGAACCTGTTTTACTTTATATATATGTTATACTTTTTTCAGGATTCTTTGATGAATAAAGAGTTAAAAAAATATTTTGTAATAGTATAAGTCTTTATTATCACTTTTTATCAATTTCACATATCCTTGCTGAATAAAAGTAAAAAAATAAAAATAATAAAAAACGTACTGACCCCAAACTTTTTAACGGCAGTGTTCATTGTTACAAAAGATTTCTATTTTGAATATATGCTGTTCTTTTTAACTTTTTTACCATCAAAGAATCATGAAAATTTATCAGAGGTTCTAAAAAAAATATTAAGCAACATAATAAATCAGCATATTAGACTGATTTCTGAAGGATCATATGACACTTAAGACTGGAGAAATGGCTGATGAAAATTCAGCTTTGCATCACAGGAATAAATTATACTTTAAAGTATATTAAAATAGAAAACTAGCCTTGGTGAGCAAAAGAAACATTAAAAATCTTACTGATCCCAAACTTTTGAACATATAAACAATAATTTTTTAAACATATTTATTTACACAAACAATTCTAAATGAGTTAAACACAAAAAAGGTCTTTTATTTAGATGTTTGCACCCCACTGGTTATGTGTTATACATTATTATAAATGCTTTTACTTATTACTATTACTTAACAACTTACTTTGATAATCAGAATGCTCTCAATGCTCCTCATGTCAATGAGGCAGTTTGCTATCACCGGGTTCTCGATATTGAGGCAGTCCAGCACAGATGGAAACTCAGGATGATGGACTCCACTGACAAGAACACATAGAAACATTGTATTTACTGTAGCTACATGAGACCTCTGACTCCATTTCTGGACACAAATATTTCTTACCGGCTTTGCAGGTTATAAACTCTGTCTGTGAATGGACACACCATAATCGGAGGCCTGCTGCCTTTGGGGAAGTATGACGACATCAGTCCTTGCAGGACTTTTTCGTCCCTGTAATTATCACAGCAAAAGGTTTTAAAGAAACCTCGTAAGCAACTCTCCACAGCCACGGCTAAACTGGGATCCTTTAGGCTGATGCATGCACCTGGTGATGAAAAAAACAAACACTGCATAAGATGAATCACAACTGGATTTGGCATCGCAAAGTTGAGTAACTCTTTGTAAATTTTAGTGAATAATCTGAAGATACTGAGGGCCTCTCACCTATTGGTCCTACAGGTTTCTTGATGAATCGGCCCCAAGTGAAGGCTTTGTCGATGGACTCCAACAATTCTGGCATGTGATCGCCAAACCGTCTCAGTCTGTTGGATCTGCTGGCCATTAGCTGCTTTTTTCTCTTCAGTTTAGACTCCAGAGAGACCTGGATGTTCTTTTCCTCCATGCTAAAAAATTAAGAAACACTCAGAAACTTTATCAAGATACAGCAAAATCATCAATCATGTACAGATGGTTCTTTCTTTAAAGGTGACATATCATGAAAATCTGACTTTTCCAGGTTTTAAGTGCTATAATCAGGTCCCCGGTGCATCTACCAACCAAGGAAACGTGAAAAAGATTAACCCAGTAACTTTGTTTTGGGAAGCCTTTTTCTGCAAGCGTCTGAAAAAACGAGCACGTCAGATTTCGCTCCCTTGGTGACGTGGCAAAGGGATCTCATTATAATATTACCGCCCCTTAATCTGTAAGTTTCCTTCATTTTTGATTTCGCAAGCACACAACAATGTACCAGTTCGAATGCCATGGCGAAAGTTTGAGCGAAGCACGCTAACTGTTCTGTCTTTGGCTGCACAGAACACTATTTAGAGTCCCAGCCTCAGAGGAGACAACAGAGCAGTGGATTTATTGATTTATTTACTGGATAATCAGAACCAAAACAGATGTTTTTAGCAGGTACGAGCTGTAATGGCGCAGCTCTATTCTGGAAAAGGGGGCGGGGAGCAGCAGCTCATTTGCATTTAAAGAGACATGCCCGAAAAACAGCTTGTTTCTGCTTCCACTCAAAATAGGCATTTTCAAAATGATATAATAAATGATCTGTGGGGTATTTTGAGCTGAAACTTCACAGACACATTCTGGGGAAACCAGAGACTTATATTACATATTGTAAAAAGGGGCATAATATGTCTCCTTTAAAGGGGTCATGTCACACATTTTAACATGAAAATCTTTATCACATTTGACGTCTTCTGGAATTATGGAACAGTCGGTTTTGCAACTTGGAATGTATTCATAATACAAAATATTCTTTAAATCACAAAAGACAAAGGAAACATTATGACAAAAATAACAAGTGGAGATTTTTCACATTTTAGGTCAATTTCAAGCCATGCCACGCAACATATTAAAGCCATTATGTTTATGGCAAAGCAGGGTTGAATACACCTTGTGTCCCTCCACTTTCCTGTCTTCCTCTTCACTGTCCAGTCAAGTCCAATAAAAAAAATAAATAAAGTTGCCAGACTTTACCTCAGTTTATCATATTCCTCTCTTCCTTTAAGCAGAGCTAGTTGTTTGTCCTTAACCTCTTGATTCAGAGCGCTGGACTCTTTCTCAAGCTTTTCCAGCTGCTTTTTGAAGGCAGATATTTTTTTTAGGTGCTGTGCTTGCTCAGTCTCATGGCTTCTTCTGCCACTGCTAAAAATGTCATCAAATTAGTCAATTACTTTAACTACATGTTCAACTAAGTCTTTAAACAAATGCCAACTAAGAAATGGTTTGCAAAAATACTTCAAAAAATTAGAGGTCTTCCCTCAACAAATGGACTCACCCATTACTTATTTTGTGAATTCGCTCCTGAAGAAGGCATTGCTCCTTTTCTAATTGTTTCAATTTATTCTCAGCGCGGAAGTAAACCACCTGAAAAACTGGCATTCTAAAAATCTATACAAACTCTTTAGAAATCAACAAGGACCCTGTTTATAAACTTAAAGCAGTAGTTCACCCAGAAATTAAAACTCTCCATCAGGTCTTTCCAAACCCATATGATTTTCTTGCTTCCATGCAACACAAAATTAGATGGTTCATACTGCTCTTTTCCATTCAAAGATAGTGAACGACTGGAGCTGACAAACAATCTGCATAAAATTTGTAAGCAGACAGCCTCTGGTCACTCAATGCTTTCACTGCATGGGAAAGAAGAGCACAGACGCTCTTCAAAACGTCTCTTTATGCATTCCACAGAAGAACGAATTTTCATTTTTGGGTGACATACTCCTTTAAGAATAATAAAATACTACATCAGCCAAATGTTGCTCACATGTAAATGTTGAAACACTCCTCCTAACTGTAGACAGATGCATGTCTTCATTTAAAATGAATATTAAAGAGATGTACACGTGTGAACATGTGTCTTCTAAAACTAACAGAAAGAAAAAACAAAGACATCTCACCTCCTGATTTTTCTGTGCTTTTGTTTTGACTTTAATTTCTTCCTTCATCTTACAGCTCTCCTCTGCCAAACGCTCCTGCTCTTCTCTAAGAGTGCAAAGCTTCTTCTGAATGTCCTGCAATCTCTTTTCAGCAGCCGTGACTTTGTTCTTAAAAGCAAAGAGAAAGAATTTTTACAGTCAAATGCCTACTAATGTTATGTCTGGAGGACATATGATGTTTAACCAATACTAAAAACTATGAATGACATTCTGTTAAAATTCTGTGTTGTTCTGTTAAAAACTTTCCTGTTTACACTACCAGTCAAAAGTTTGTAATAATTATGATTTTTTAATGTTTTTGAAAGATGTCTGCTTGTCCAAAACAGCAAATTTGAATGATTTGTGACACTGAAGACTTGTGTAATGATGCTGAAAAATCAGTTTTGCATCACAGGAATAAATGACATTTTAAAATCTATTCAAACAGAAAACATGCCTTTTGAATTGTAATAATATTTCATAATATTATGAAATATTTTTATTTTTTTTGCTGTGTTTTTGATCAAATAAATGCAGCCTTGGTGAGCAGAAGAGACTTCATTCAAAAACATAACTCCCCCCAAAACATAGTTTTAAAATAACATAATAAAGCATAGTTCTGCCAGTAAAAGTCCAGATCAATACAGCTGATCACACAAACCTGACAGAGCTGCAGCTTTTCTTCATGTTTACAGTCAGACTCTTCTTTTTCAATTTGTTCGATCAGTTGTTCAACGTGCCTCTCATTCTCTCTCACCTACAACCAACAAACAGAGACACACACCACTTAACAGAGAATCTCTAATGCAAGCCACTTTTCACACTTCTGTTAAGACACACTAGAATAACTTACCAAACACCATGCCATCTTCTTTTTCAGGTCCTCCAGAGTCTGTCTCATATTGTCGAGCGACGACAAGCATTCATATCTTTCTTTCTTTTGCAAAAACAACTGCTTGAGATCTTTAAGACACTAAAAATATAAAGATCGATGTGACCAGTGTGTGATGATAGTGGTGATTGCTTGTGCAAAACGTGCATTAAGTATGAGAAACGCTAATAAAGATGCTTGACTATGAATTCACAAATCACCTCTTCTTGTCTTTCCACTTGTTCGCGTGTCAAGGCTTTAGTCTGCTTGATGTGAATGTAGTCTCTTTTCATTTGCTCCAGAAGAGTTGCTTTCATGAAAAACTTTAGGACAAAAAAGATAGAAATAGTGTGCGAACAGTTAGCCATACAACACTGCTTCAGTTACTGATGGCATATGTGACCCTGGACCACAAAACCAGTCATAAGGGTCAAAACATGATCTTTACTTAATATCCTAATGATTTTTGGTATAAAAGAAAAATCGATAATTTTGACCCATACAATGTTTTTTTGGCTATTGCTACAAATATACCCCAGCGACTTGAGACTGCTTTTGTGCTCCAGTGTCACATATATGAAAAATAATCACCTTGTACTTGTCTGCTTCACTTTTTGAATGCAGGAACTGTTTGCTCATTTCTTGATTGAGGACTGAAACCGGATTGTCGACCTGTAATATAAAATAATTAATCCAGAATCAATAAATCAATTACAGGTTTGCTTTATACAATCAGGAATAAAACAACTAGATTTTTAACTTAGATTTTAAAATAATTACTTAGCAAAAACTAAAAGATCGCACTTTAAAGCATGCAAGTCATATGAGCTGTTTTTTTATTTATTTCTATATATTTTTTTTTTTCACCAAAAGTACCTGGATGCCGAAATGGTCCAGTATAGCAGTTAACTCTTCCTTCTTTGTGGAAACGACATGGCCTACAAAATAGAGCAAATCTGAATATAAATGAGGAAGTCCTGTTTCTGATATTATCTGTGAGCTGGAGGAAGTCATGATATTACCAATTTTATTCTTGATTTTACAAGTTCTGCAACCGTCACTTGTGATCCGATGCTCAATGCAGATGCTGTCGCCATAAATGTCACCTTTATAGGGGTCGTTCCCTCTGTTTTTTAATTTCACTTTAATGTCTGCAAAACTGTACACAAAAGAATCAGAGTGCTTATAAAAATAACTAGGGATGTTAACGATTAACCGCGAGCCGGTTGAAAATCGATTCAAATATGTGACGATTAAAATCGGTTGAGATGCCAAACAAATCGCGATACAACTGGAGTAGGAGTTTATATGAATGTATTTCTGAGGGGCACTGACTGTCTTTAGAAAGGTTTACGTGGTATTTTCTTTTCATCTTGCCTCTGAACCATGCATATTAAAGTAGTGTTCATAAGCACAGCTCTGCTTTGTTTACAGCGGTAACCAAGGAAACACTGTATCATTGCTGTTCATGAGCGCCACCTGCTGTCAGAGAGTGAATCTGCATCTCATTCAGCCTGTCTGCTTTTATGTTTTTTATGTATAGTTTCACAAAACTAAAGTCAGACCATTCTGTTTTTGCTTTAAATTTCAAAATTATACGGTCTAATTTAGATTAAAAACTGCTCATGCTGCATGTAGCCTATGCTGCATCTTTGTTTAGATCATGATTAAAATCCAGTGGTTGCCTCTAATTTTAAATGGAAAGAGCACAGACAAAGCCTTAGTTTGTTCATATTAAGAGATTTATTTTATTTGTGTAACTTACTTGTTTGATTTGGGGTTTGTTTTAAAATTAAAATGTAGTTTTGTTATATTTCAATTTCACAAAGAAACATGCAGCAATAGCCTAATAAGACGACACCTTTTCATTTACTGTATAATGTCTTCAATCTCATTTTGTTAAAAAAAATCGTGAGAAAATCGAATCGTGAAATCAAAATCGTGAATCAATTCGAATCGTGAGTTGAGTGAATCGTTACATCCCTAAAAATAACATGATCTCATTTTTTCTTCTAAAATATACTAACCTCTCTCCATATTTCACAAAGCCCTTCAAAGATGTTCCTCTGTTGGTTGTGGTTGCTTTTCCACCAAGACCCACTATAAGAGCTGTCAGAATAGCACTTTTCCCAGCTTAGAGTGGAATAAAAAAAACATGCATTGAGAAGACTGCTTTGAGCAATAACCCATATTGTTTCATGTTTTTCGAAACAAAACCACATTTTTCAAACTTTTCCTTCATTATCCTCTCAAACAACAGCCACTTTTGTGTTGGGGTCAATTTGACGTACACTTGATTTTCAAACTGCTCGAATTACCGCGAGCAGTTTAAACTATTTATTTCTTCTTGAAATTTTGTGAATATTTTTCATTCAGGGTCATGAATGTGCATGCAAAATATGTTCGACACATATATGTGTTTTGAAAAGGCTGTACAAATTCCCCCATTGACCCAGAATTTTTTTTCCATGCAATCTGCAAAAACTCAACACTAAAGTGTCAGGCAAAAACTACTTTTTTTGTAACTTGTCAAACACTAAAATATAAATACATTAAAAT